CTATCTTAAATCCTTCAACCGTTTCCTCCACTCGAATCCATCTCTGCCACATTTCCAACCTTCACCCACCTCAAAATCACCGTTTTTTCAACCGATTAATCTGACAAAAACCCCTCGGTACTTCCGAAATGGCTCGGGTGAAGCAACCAAATGTCGAAAGGGGAGAAGCGCAGGAGAAACAACCTCAATCAAGCGACACCACTACTTCGGGTACTCGAAAACGTTATAGACCGAAGGTAAGGGAGGAATCAGCGAAGAAGAGGGCTACTCTGAAAATTCGGGAGAGTCGGGCAGAAGAACAGCCCCGGCCTCTCTCAGAAATCTCCCCGGTCCAAATCAAAATTACCGATAGTGACTGAAGAATCGGAGACCGAGTCGGATGATGGTGCCTCAGTTCAGAAAGCCGTGGAATCCGCTTTGAATAATATCTGTCCCCAAGCAACCGAGAAAGAAGAAACAGAGGGCAAGTGAAGGAGTCGCTCGGGAAATTCCTCCTGAAGGTATACCCACTGAATTTTCTGAGTTATTATCTGGCAATCTCGATAATGAAGTTAATATAGCAAGTATAAGGCCGATTTTGCCAATAGAAAATTCTGTCCTGTGATATCGGTGGACTTAGAGGGTCTGAGGAAAAACAAACAAATTAATCTTGATTTAAGTGACCCACTGCAGCATTATTCGAATTGGTTAATCATTGGTGGTGAATACTGCCCCGACCGCAGTGGTTAAAAGATTCTACTGTAATATGGAATCAGTAGAAAAATATGATGATAAAGACAATCTCATAGAAATTGTCTGAAGGTTACACTAAGAGGCAGAGCTTTTAAACTCACAAGTGCCAAAATAAATGAGCTACTAGGGACTCAAGATTTTGTGCGAGGTGGTGACATGAATGAAGTAAAGGCTTATAGAATTTTAATGCAGAATAGTGATTATCCCGGTGAGCTGAATTTTCCCCCTAAGCAGATGTGTGATTTCTATAGGATCATCCATTACATCTATTCTAGGTGCATGGTAAACAAATCCGGTAGTTTCTCACATCTTACTCAGGATGATTATCTTCTACTAGCCCGATTATTAGTGGGAAAAGATTAATATTGGGGATCTTATTTACTCTGAGATGAAGGACTTTGTTCTTAATAAGTCCAGATCAACCCCAATTCCCTATCCTCAGCTGGCCACCTATTTCCTTCAGGCATATAACATTGCTCCATTTGATTCTGGGGAACTCAAGACCAAGGTTCCTGGTTTTGGCCTCACTCAGCTCCACAAAATGAGGATCTCTGTTCCCTTTACACCATCACAGAAAGTATCTCAGAAGGATAAGGGAAAGCAACCAGCTGCTAGTACATCTCGGACCCAGGATGAAGCTGAATCCACTGCTGCTCCATCTCATACCCCTGGTCCATCTTTTATGGAGAGATCCTCAGGGAAATGTTTCAGGCTGAGCTTCGTGCATTTGAGACCAGAGTCTACACTACTCACTACCAGAGACTATGGGGAAGTTTCTGACCGGAAGTTTGATGGCATTTCTAAGATTCTGGATCTTCACCAACAAGCTATGGTGGTTTTGGAAAGAGAAGTTACCGAGAGGTTTAATTCAGTGGACAAGGAACTCCAAGAGCTTAAAGGCTTAATTACCTCTCTCTGCCAGCATTTCACTGCACCTAGCACAAGCTTCAGCTATGAGGATCTCCTCTTTCATTCTACCTCTCCACCTCACCCTGAGCCTGCCCCTCACCCTGAGCCTGCACCTCCTTCCTCTCTCTTACCCACTTCTCCTATTTCCACCACTTCTCCTTCTGTTCCATCTACTTCTATTCCAGTCCTTACTACTCTTGCTCTTATCACTGTACCCCAACCTGTTCACTCCTTTCATTTTCCATCTATTTCTCCACTTTTTCCCCTTCCTCCTCTCCCTATTCCCCTGACCATTCCTTCGGCTCATACCCCTTCTGATGCTGACAAAAAGGGGGAGAAGAAAACTGATGATGTTTCGTAGTTTATATGGTTTTATGAGTTGCTTTTTGGTTCTATGTCATGACTTTATGTTATCTCCTTTTGTGTATCTGGATAGTGTTTTTATCGATAATATGTTCTTGATATTTATTTGCTTTTTCATACTTTATGAGGATATGAAACTGGTTGATATTCTCTTTGATAAATGATTTATAACTTATGTTTTGTCATCATCAAAAAGGGGGAGAATGTTAGGATTATAGTTTTGATGATAACAAAGTCAGAAAATTTGGGTTAAGTATTTTGATCGATCAACTGATCGATCAATCGTTTATCGCTAAGGTTTCAGATAATTGTTCAAATGTAAATCAGGTTTATAGTAGGTATTTGGATCGAAGAGCTATTCGATAAGTAATTAATCGATAAAGTGATCGATTATCGCTAACGTGAAAATCTCTCAAGAGTATGGTTAATTATCGATCAACTGATCGATAATATCAGATAAACAATCGAGTTACTGATAAGAGAACCAAATCTGAAGTGTATTTATCGATCAAGTGATCGATAAATCGGTCATCAATAACGACTTCGATAAAAGGTAACACAATCTACTTGTTCTGCACATTAATTCTGTTACCAATTTATCGATCATATTCTCGATCATTTGTTTATCGATCACATGTTCGAACATTATGCTCTAACTCTCTGAATGCAGGTAATCAACTTCACTGATGGATCGATAACCTTATTGATCATAAAATTATCGATCACATGATCGATAATCATTGCCTTTATCTACTCTTATTTAGTTTTCCTGCAACTAAATTATCGATAACATTATCGATAAATTTAACTTGTTTGCATAAATAACTTTTCACATAACATGATTAATAAAGAGTCTAAGGATTGCTATATTCGCATTAATTTATGTTGAACTATTTTTCGATCACCTAATCGATCACTGGTTTTTCGATTATATGATCGATCATTCAATTCCCTGAAACTCATGTTTTCACAAAACGTGATCGATAATCAGTTTCCTTGTCTTACAGGATTAAATTTCTCTTCTTACTTTATTCGATCATTTGTTCGAATATTCATTAATCGATCAACTGTTCGATCACTTCAGATAGTCTGTCTTTCATTGAATATATACATACCCATGGTTTATCGATAACATTATTCATCATACATTTATCGATAAATTGTTCGATCATCAATGACTGAAGTTTCATTTCAATAACATTTGAATTATCGATAATCTGTTCAATCAAACAAGTGTTCGATCACTTGTTCGATCATGGAACGAATTCCTCTTTCTATGATAATTCTTAGAGTCAATGATCCAACACTTGATCGATAATATTGGTGAACTAATTTGAAAATTCTTCATTCTGTTTATCGATAACCTGATCTATCATCGAGTAATCGATCACCTTTTCGATCAAACTAAACCAGAATGACTTTCTGTTCTTCTTATTGATAAATGATTTCGTCACAAAATCCTTGAATGATAAATTTGTTTTTTCTTCCTTGTTCAAGATTAAAGTATTCACCGCAAAACTCTCATTTGTTCAAAGCTTAAAATATGCAGATTAATGAAAACGAGTGCAACGGCTCTTCAACGGGATTACGTAGACTGCAACCTACAGTGTCAGAAGCTCAGACGCATTAATGGCGGAGCCGTTGAAACTAGCGAAACACGCAAACGGAGTCACAACGGCTAGAAGCTCTTCCGTCTAACGGCTACTTAACGATATCAACTATAAAAAGCGTGAAGAAGCATTAATGATGAGATTGAATACTGGAACTACCACCTGCGATTATCTAGTCTAGCATTCAATACTCTGTTTTTCACGTTACTACCGAGCATCAGTTTTTATCATTAAATTCACTCTGTAAGAGAGTCAATTACTACTCTTATTAAAAACTTGAGTGTTACTCAAGAGTGTGGACTCTTGAGAGGGCTTGTATTCTTACGGGAGTAAGGGGGAGTGATTGAGCGATTCAATTACTGTACCGAGGCACCAAGAGCCCTGTCGATCTTGGAAGATAGTGAAATACTCAGAGGTGTTCTGGGGACTGAAAGTAGGTCACGTGGTTTAGACCGAACCAGTATAAATCTTGCGTCTTCTCTCTCTGCGGTTAAATTTTCTCCTTACTCTGGTTCTCTGTTTTTATTCAATACTGTCACGGTTTAGAGGGGTGAGATTGTTTCTAACACGTATGACTCACTTCACCAATATATTCTGTATGAGTACCATGACACCTTTTAGTTTTTATATATTTAGTGCTTAATTATATCTTGAATAGGATTACTTTCTAATATGTGTATCTCGAACAGGAGTGCTTTTTAATAAGAGGTTGGTAGTAAACAATTAAAATTTTTTTGAACGGATATACTCTTCTGTTAATTCTCATTCTCCCTTGTAACTACTTAGCACAATCGGAAAATTTCATTGATCAAGGAATTGCCATAATAAGGCATTGATACTTTAAAGAAATTAGACATACTTACACTAAAAAAACAAAAAGGAACATAGACATAATCAGGTTCTCTCCACTTCCCTTCCTCTCTATGTTCCTTCACTTTTTCATCTCAACCATAAGATTACAATTTGAATGGTTTAGATTTTATATTTCATACCATACTTATGATTTATGAATCAATGAATTTATTAAGTTAATTAGCGGCTTTTATGGTTGTTCGTTCAAGTCGTATTAATACGATTTTAATGTGCGTGTGTGTGCATATAACGATCTCGTTTTTATGACAAAATAAAAAACTAATGAGACAATTATTTCTTATGTAGAACCCACACGCTACAATGAAACAAGTTTTTCACTCGCTTCTCAATTTTTTATCAGAGGAGGTATTTATGCCAAAATTATTTAGAGGAAAATTCATTAATTTTTAAATAAAAAACATTCTTCTACAAAATAACAAAACAATCACACCCAATTTCTAGATGATAAAAAAAAAAAGAAAAAGAAGAAGACAAAAGCCATTAACTAAAGTGAATAACTGAATATCGATATGACTACTTGTTTTGGTGGTGGTGTTTTCCGGGAAGCTTCTCCTTGATCTTCTCCATTATTCCTTTCTTTTCATGGTGGTCGTTCTCACCGCCGGCAAGAGTGTCGCTGCTTATAGTTAGGGTCTCATCGGTGGGTTCGGTTGTTGGGTTGGTGTTAACCATCGCCGGTCCAGTGATATCATCGTTCGTGGCAACATGTTCGGTGCCGCTGATGCCGGTGGCGGTGTTAACCATCGCGGGTCCGGTGATGTCATGATCCGTCGCGACATGTGCGTTGCTGCCTATTCCGGTGGTGTCTCCGGCTGTGTCCATTTCCTTCTGAATTGGGTTGTGACTTACTGGAACTGCACCATATTGGTTTTGGAAGTGTGCCATTTTTCTGTTGGCTTGTTCATGAATTAGGGGTTTCATTATTTATATATAGGCAAGGCATGGTGGTGCCAAAAAGTCTGACCATTATTCAAATATTTTATCACTTATGCATACTAATTCGATATGAATTTAAATAAATGATTAATATTTAAACAATTTTTCTTGTGAAAAGCGATTTAATTGCCTCGTCACTTTCCCTGCGGCACCAAAGTCTTGACATGTGTGACCTGCGGTGACTGCAATTGCCATGTGTCCTTTGGCTCTGCCACGTTGCAACAAATGAAGGGGGGAAAATCACTCGGGGAAAAAGTCCGCATGCCGATGAGCATCCCCGAGAGGACACTGTTTTGGGAATGAAACCCAACCCTTTTTTTATAAAAAAAAAAATAATAATTTTGGTTATGTTGGATACTGTGAAATATTTTTTTACGAATGTCCAGTACTCCTAAATTCTAAATTGATTGGTCAAAAAAAAAATTCTAAATTGATTAATTTTTAGTGTATCTAATACTTTAAAATATATTTTCAGGAGCACTTAGTATCTTAAATTTATTATTTTTAGTGCATTCAGTATTTAAAAATGTATTTTAATAGTACTTAATATCCTAAATTAATTAATTTTTAATGCACCTAATATCCTAAAATTCTAAAATATTTTTGTAACACCCAATATCCTAAATTAATTAATTAGTTTTTAGTACATACAGATGCATTAAAGATTTTTAATGGGTATTGAGTGTTACTAAGCACTAACAATAAATTAATTTAGAATATTGGATGTTACTGAAAATATTAACTGAAAAATTTTCTAGATGCAATAAAAGTTCATTACTTTGTGGTGCCGACTATCACTAAAAAAATATTTTAAGGTGTTAAATATAATTAAATTCATATGCACCAAAAAAAAATTAAAATTAAAAAAGAAAAAGAAAGAAAGTTGGTATCTCATCCTAAGACGCTGCCTTTTGGGTGAAGAGCATTCCTGCTCATCAATTGCGCTAAAAATTAATTAATTAATTTAATATACTGGGTGTTATAAAAATATTTTAAGATATTGAATGCGCTAAAAATTAATTAATTTCAAATACCGAGTGATGCTAAAAAATAATTTTTAATATTGAATGCATTAAAAATGATGAATCTAAAATATTGAGTGCTCCTAAAATATATTTTAAAATGTTGGATACATTAAAAATAATCATAAAATACTAAGCAATTTTAAAAAATATTTTATAATACTTAATCGAACTTAATCCAAATAAATAAAAATAAATTAAAAAATTATTAAAAAAAGGGATCGGTCTCATCACCAGACGGTGCCATTTGGGGGATGAACATGTCCTGCGCATAGATGTGATAAGCAGGGCATGTGGATTCCTCGGAGAAAGAATGAAAAGTTTTGATGTAAGAAATCATTGATATTTTTGAAATTTATTTTTATTGTGGTTTTGATTTTTAAAATTTGAAATTAATGATTTTGTTTCAAAAAATTTGATCTTATTTGACCCCTGAAGATATTTGGTTTCTAGAATCAAAACCTAGGGTTGTGTTGTTTGAGCTTAGCGTTTTGTGTCCTTTTTTTTTTTCTCCTCTTCATTTTGGAACTCTATATCCACTTGAGCTTCTATCTTTCTTGATTTCTTTCCATTCTCTATATCAGGAGTGATGGCAGCAAAAACTTTAAGATGGGGAATAGGATAGGGACTCAAAAAGCTAGCTTAGTAGAAGAAAAATCTCCTTGAATTATAAATCATACCACAAAAGTAGATCTTCTGATATTGTGATGACACCCTCTCCTTCACTTTCACTATATTTCTACATACGCATGATGAGTTTGTGAGCAGCAGCAGTCGTCTAATATTATATCTAATTCTAAATATAAGAGTTGAATAAAATGTTCATTTTGATTTTAAATATAAGATTAAGGTGCTCTCAGCACTTTGAACTATTTTCTCAGGTTTTAGTACACCCAAACCGATGTCTCAGGCTAACAGAACTTTTTTTTTTGGGAAAATTCTAATTAAATCCATTTGAAATAGCAAAATTCTAATTTAAGCCTACACTTTTAACAAATTCTTAATTAGGCCAAGAGGCCTAATTGGGGATTTCTAAATGTTGCTAAAAGACCAAAATGCCCTTCATAATTAAAAAGCCTAATTTTAGTTTTAATTCTTTTAATTGAATTTAACTAACATGTTTTTTTTTCTTTAAACATTATCACATGAAAATTTGGCCAAAAACATTATCATATAAAAAACAAAAAAAGAAAAATAACGATTATAGCCCATAAAAAATAATTGAAAATTCAAGATAAAAAAATACATAATTTCTAGATATCTATAGAATTGCAAAAATATGGGAACTAATAAAAATTTTACGATTTCAAATGTAAAAGATTAACAAGATCAAAGATTTTTTTTTTTGTGTGAGAAAAAGACCAAATCAAAGATTCATGGAATTTTTGAATATCTATCAAAATTAATTTTACTATTTCACAACTTATAGTGAGACTCATTAATTCATCTTCAATTTTCTGGTCTTCAACATTTATTCAATATCAAATTTTTATTATATAAAAAAATAAAAAGCTATAAATTCTAGAATTGACATGAGGTTCACAATTACAAAACACACATTTGACATAAAATCTAAGAAAGACCATGTCCTCATTAGTAAATCTACTAGAATAATTAAAACTAAAATTAGATTTACCCCTACATTCAATTTTCCTTTTTGATTACAAAGAGGCATTCCGGTCTTTTAGCAACATTTGAAAATCTCTAATAAGGCCTCTTAGCCTAATTAGGAATTCATTAAAAGTATAAGCCTTAATTGGAATTTCATTATTTTAGATAGATTTAATTGGAATTTTTCCCTTTTTTTTTTTTACTGTTAACCCCATGACACACCTCAAAGTTTACCCTCCGTCACTTCATTCTCAAAGTTAACCCTTCGAGGTTCTATGGCCACCATCTTCTCCATACTCCAACACTCCTCTTGTCCCACAACATCATCTTCCATTTCATCTCTGCCACCTCCAAGCCTTCCTTCTCCTCCATCCTCAACCACACTCTCTCCATTCCCTTCCCTTACCTCTATTTCGGAATCTACCCCTTCGATGATGCCTCCATCTCCGGCCTCATCTACTCCTCTATAAGCTCCGCATTGGACAACCCTCTCAACTACGGCCGCAACCACCTCGCCAACCTCCTACTGCCGTCCGTCTGCAAAGTCGTCTACCTGGACTTCAACTTGGTCCTCATTGAAGGGGGACTCACCCAAGCAGCGGAAGAAGAAGGCGGATTCATCCAATTCAAGGTGTACCTCATATTTTCGATGGTGGCTCCTCAATTTTTTCAGCCGAATATGCAACCATTGCTTCTATTCTGGCATTGGTTTCGGTGATACATCAATTCTTCTCTCCCCTCGGCACCTTCTTTCAATTATTTTGAAGTTATAGTAGAACTCAGGCCTTCCCATTAGTTCATCGATTGAATTACCAAACACTGATGTCACGAGAATTGATAATAAGGAATCAATTTAGAGCACCAGTTCCCATCTAATGCGTATAAAGATATTATCAAATGTGATTGTCTTGTTTTTCAGAGACCACAAAGACAGACGCTGGTAAGCTTTGGTTTGATGATATAAATCTCTTGCAACTTTCTTTTTCCCCTTGTCAGTCCTTTCTAGCCCTTTATTTTTTTGGTTTAAATTTTGTTTTTAAAAAAAAATCCCAAGTGGAGCTGAGTTGGAAGAGTATGTTGCCATATAGCTGAGTTGTGAAGGGAAAGGATGGTAATATAAAATTGAAAAAGTTAAGAGACTAAATTATATACGAGTTAAAAGTTCAGGAACGTACCAAGTTGTAATTAAAGAACTAAATTATAAGTAAGTTAAAAATTGAAGAATTAAAAGATTAATTTTTTGTAATAAGAATCAACAAGAAGTCCCATATCGAGAAATGCACAAAAGCTGCACCAACCAATGCTATATATAATACCGCGCGTTAGACTTATGCCAGCCACGGAGCCGTGCTGTGAGCACAGAGCGAACTGTTCTTTCGCCTTTTACTAAAGAATACCGTGTGCTCGCAGCTTAAAGCGGCATACGCCTATTTTGAAGAGGGCTTTTCCTTTGGAAAGTCTCTCACAATGCAGAGTTGCAAAATTTTGTTTCATTCTGAGATCGTGCCCTGTTTAGGCTTCTGTACTATTTTATTGTTTACTTGCATTTGTTGGTTGCAGATTCTGATCACATCTCAAGCTTTTCAGTTTAGTACAGATCTCCTATGCAAAAGAACAAGTCATATTCAGTTAGGGAGAGTTACTTTTCTGCTTAGGATATCAAGGTTCTGCTGTTGAGTAAATGACAGTTTTTCGGTTTAAGTGATTCTTTCCAAATGTTTTTCCTTTCAAATTCTCCTCATTTTCTGCTTGGTAAAGCCAAATAGAGTGAAGAAATGGGTCACAAGCTATGTTTATCTTGTTCTCAAGATTACTGAGCTTGCTTGCTTTATGTGTCAAGATTTCCCTTAATCCCATTCTATTTTTTAGCACCCAAAAACCAAGAAGTGAGCTCCACAATGTGAAGAGGCAAATGAACGTGAAATTCATTAAGAAATAAATAAGTTTGCTGAATTTTTGCAGAAAATAATAATGGGTATTCATCGCAGTGACGAGTATTAGAATACAATCACATAGTTGCAACAACACAATGGCAAATCTATAATCAACATAATAAATGGTTCTAGTCAAAAGGGAAAAAGAATTTTTACCTCATTATCCATCTTTGGGTATGGTTCCCCTACCTTGCTACATTTAAGGCAAATCAATAATCAAAGCCAGCTCCCTCGTGAACTGAAGCCGCCAAAGCAGGTGAAAGATTAATCCTGCGTTGGAAATCCCATGATTAATCACCTGCTTAGGAAATATGAGTAAGTAATTTAAAATTGGAATTTGAAATATTAGAAGAGAGTGCCTCGAATGATGAAACTTGAAAGAGTTGAGCCTGAGAGACTTGGGGGAGATTTCATGATAAAACTGGTACATAGCCATGTAATCAATTAATGCATTCTGTGGCTCCAACAAAACCCAAGAAATGGGGATGGCAAAAACGAAGCCATCAATATCTGATAATTTTTTAATGGAACTGGTTAGGGCTTTTGAACAGTGAAATGAGTTTGAAGCCGATGTGAAGTCATACTCATACCACAATTCGGCTTATAGAGGAATAATATTAAAGGATAAGTTACTTATGTCGTTTTTTGCATCCACCTTGCGATGAACTTTTACAGTAGGAAAGTAAATTACTCGGATTTAGATGCTCTTAGAATCCTCTTTCTCATTTTCATCTCATACTTCTCTTTTCACTCTCGGATTAAAATAAATAAAAAGAATGATTCAGATAAAATATCTCATAAAATATTATTATAACATAAATGAATAGGTTTAAATTGTAAAAATTTAATTCAGATAGTTCACATCTGTAATAAACAAATTTAATTTGCAAAATATTTTAATAATAGTTTTATAAAATATTACATTTGAACCATCTATCTTTTTTATGTAAAGATGGAGAATGGATTTTGAAAAGAAAAGAAAAGAAAAAACAGGATTATGAGAAGATTTTAATCCCCTAAGTTCTTCATTCCTGTACTACAGTATTACTTTCGGTCCTGATTATAAGAGTTACTTGACTAATTTGAAGAGATTAAAAAAAGAAGTTAAGTTTGTTATTTATAATAAATGAATTGTCTTTTCTAAAATATCCTTACTAATTAAATGTATTAGCTATAACTATCATTGTTAGAAAGACTATCTTGAAAAAAAATTTTAAATATAAGAGACAAAGTGGATTGCAATCTTATATTTAGGATCAAAATAAAAGTCAAACAAGATATTATATTAAAGACCGGAGGTAGTATTTAAAATGTGAGTGTTCAGCAGGAGCTTATTAGTTCTTGATCAGGACAAAATAACTTTTGGCGTCCGCAACCACATTCAGTCGAGATATGTACACAATTCCAGAGGATCCCCCCCAAGTCTCTCTCTATTCCTTCTTGAAAAGGTGTTTGTCCTGTATCTGTATGTAATAAGCACCATTTCATGAAGCCATTGTAATTCTTTACTCAGCATGGAAGTTTTGAATAGTGATTCTCTGTATTATTCACTGAGGATCAGATTACATAAGGGAAATAGGGAATCAACCTAATTAATACAGATCTGATTCTATCCCAGATTGCATCTCTCCAATCCTTGAAAAAGATTACAAAAGATTCACTGTAATAAAAACTCAGGAAATTAGGTTAAACATTTAGTTTTGGCCCATTTGGTAGGAGGACCACTTTCCCACACAGCATCAACTCCCTCAACTATTTACATGAAGAGAAGGAAATGATTATCGTTTCAGCAAGCAAGCTTAAGTTTCATCTTTTCTCATGACTCGATTCCCACTCTTAGAAAGAAGAAGGTCTCTCATTTCTCGGTAACTCTTGAGCTCTTCGAGCGCCTCCGATGTCTTTCGAGGCAGGAAGAATCCAGAAGCAGTAGCAATTCCTTCCTCAAATTCAGTCTTCAAGGAAGGGGACGAATAACAACTCGGATCTTGGCGCAACGGAGGCGCTGTCCTAAGCATGCGTACAAGAACACCCACAGCAGCATCTTGTGACTTTCTTCCCATTGGCATTGATGTTGAAGTAATTTCTGAAGGACTCGTACCATCCACATTTTGACTGTTTACCCCAAAAAAACCAGAAGGAAAGAAAAGGAAAAGGCAGTCAATAAGACACTAAATCACAAATAATGCACATTACAGATCCAGCGTGGCAGATCTAAATAATGACGCACTAAGTTTTTATCGAAGCTTAAAGGTAAATGACAAGGAAAACAACAAATCTAATATCTACTAGACATAAGTAGCAACCTGAACCTAAAAGGTCCATACAACATCAAACAATAAGAAACAACTTATCATTAGTGAACAAAGGATCAATGATAGTGGCACCCTTTCAAAATAGACTAGCTCTAGTAGGAGCAGTGTAACAAGCACATGTGTGACAATGACATGCTTCCCTACGAGTTGCTGTAAGTCTAAAGGTAGTGTGCTAGATTTCAGGTGTACAGGTCCCCCAAGAATAGGCATGCATATAGCCAGGGCTCAGATCCTCATTATATACACAAGAGGGTAACTAGGACATACAAATAGGAATTAGGATTTCCCACTGGAAATCCAAATTATGTGATTTGAAAAAAGAATCATAGCAACTATTTTGGAAGTCACACAGGAAATAAGAAACCGGGGAAGAAATAGGGCATTGGAATATGGATTGACATATCAAAAGTGGTTAGGCAGAAAACTACATCTTCATGCATGAGATCTGCTTCCCATTATCAAATCAGTGTTTCTATTACTGCTTTCCATTTCATTCTACTTTCTCTAGTTAGAAGAATACAAAAGATGTCTATTCCATCTAGATGAAATAAAAAAGTATAATAATATAAGAACACAAGTTACAATTGTGCCGTCCACGTGCAAGAGGTGCAGTTATTGCAAGCGCATCTTGACCCTGGTTGTTAGGGTGTTCGACATCACCAGCTATACACATGTCGATCACCCAAGGTGCAAATGCATCTTGTGCCAAAAGAGAAACGGCGCTAAAGTGTGCCAGATTTCATTGTTCAAGCCATGCTTAACAACCTAAATTATTCACATGAGGATAAGCAGAGATGGATGAGAGAATGTATGCATTCTCCTTAATGTGTACATGCATCAACAACATTGTCAACATTAAAAAAATAGTCTTCTATTACTATCATTCAGAACGTGTAAACAGATCAAACTAGTAGCAATAATTTGGCACATCTTTATGCAACAAATGCTGATTATTATCCATCAATTGTTCTAAAACTACATATTGTAATAAATAAGCTGCTGGAATTATCATAGAGAAAGAAATTTCAATAAAACAGAAACAGATTCTCGTCAAGTTAGTTTAACAGTCAGCTTGAAGATGCTTCATGCCACGACTTTATTTGTCAACGATGAGGTCAATCAACATACCTAGGGTTAACATCTGGTGTATCGACATCATCAACAACAAAAGGACATGAGAAATCACCATCATCCAAGTCATCCTGTAAAGATAATCTGCTGGAACTTCTAGAAAATCCAATCCGTGGTGAGCCACTTGAAGATAACAATCCTGAGAATCTCCCAGAATCGTCCTTGTTATCCTTGACAAACTATAAAATAAATGTTGAGCTTATTAAAACAGAATACGCACATTTGAAGTTCAGAAGTAATAATGCAAGACCATAATTACCTTTAGACCAGAATAATTTGTTATCCCAGATTGCATCTCTCCAATCCTTGAAGCTTCTATTTTCCTGAACGACCTCATTCCAGATGGAGACTCCTGAGACGAAGTGTCATTTTTAATGCTTCTGGGCGATAAAGGTGGTAGAGAATTTCTACTATGATCTGAAAGATTAGGAGAGAGGTTTCTAGAACTTCTGCCAATCACTGAATGAGGTATAGTTACAGGGGCAGTTTCAGATCGCATACGAGTACGCATTGGGTTAGGTGCAGATGGAGATGGAGAATGTGAAAATGGAGGAGAAAGCTGATACTCATCATGACTAGTAGATCTTTGTCGGGCCAGCATTCGCTGGTTATGAACTCTGATACCATAATTATCAAGAGGCGAAGATGGATAATCATTAGGCATGGAAGGAAGACGATGCACTGGTGGGGATCCAACATAGGGTTGGTTTGGTACAAAATGTGCTCCCCTATGAAAGCCGCTGGTCCAGCTATGAGGACGTTCAAGTGGTGGTACTGGAGATTGTGGTGGTAACCCTCTCAGTGGAAAGGACGTGGACCTAACACCCTTCTCTGAGGGAGGGAAATATCTCAAAGGGTCAGTATTGGGGCTTCCAACATAATCAGTGATTATTTTTGGTGGCAATGGTGTTGAAAACTCAAGCTTGAAATCAGATAGTGTGGTACGGTAGCTGACAGATATAGAAAGGCAGCCCGGAGGGGCCTCAACCGGAGTGAATTTGTATTCTTTCATCATTTTCTCCTCTGCCCGAGAGAAAGGATCACTAAATGAAGAAACTTTGTAAATAATATCAAAATTACAAGTCTGACTTGATGTACTTAGCTGCCTGAAGATACGATAAGCTGGAAGAAGCCTCATCTGAGAATACAGAGAACGGAACAGTATGATTGACTTCTTGTATGTCTTCTTGTAAATGCCTGAAATGTCACTAGTTTGAGCCATTACTCGTGGACAGTCGTAATGAACAACCCACCTCTCTATAACTGTCTCAACAGATGAACCCATTGCCAGAGACGGACCTGCCCCTTCTTGAACTAGTATAATGTCTATTACCATTGGTTCCATCAAATTCCTATGCCAGAAGTTTAAATTATCTAGAGCAGCAGGTCGGTCACCTAATGCCAAGTTAAACCATTTATCACTCTTCTTCACCCGAGATCCAAGTGATAACTCACCACTTCTATCGTGTGGGTGAAGAGAAGGAACCCTTGAGTCTAAAATGACATGTAAGCTCTTCAAAAGAAATTGAGAAACAATCTGTTCCAATTTTCCCGATTCAGGTTGCAAGTTATTCTGCAAATCCATCTTTTCCCAAGTAAAACGAATTCCTAGTTAGGCTCCCCCTCCTCAAGAAAATCCATTCTTGGTCACCCAAGAAAAAAAGAATCAGTCCAGCGCCAACGAAACTCAGAGTATCTTTACCGAATAGAAAATTCAAAAAAATGCAGGACGTAGGGAATAGATGATCTCGTTCACAGAACTTCCTGTGTGATTAGTCAATATGTACCTCGGCAAAGAGCACTGGTATCAAGGATTGTCCTGAAAATGCAAAGATCACCAGTGATAAACTTCTTCGATTAACTATAATGCAGATTCATCAATGCAAAATAAACTGGGAACCCAGATCATAGCAAGAGAACTCTCAAGAAGACTTCAAGGACACCCAATTGACCGTACATGATGATCAAGTAATCAACAACTACCTAATTGAAAATAAAACACCCAAAACATAATAATCATCGTCCCCACGAGATCTAAGAATAGAGAACAAAATTCGTCACAACGATAATATAAAGTGACTCGTCACAAAGGAAGACAAAAGGTAAAGCACCTTGGATAAGATGGGTTTGGTAGCATTCGACGATACGCGTGAACGGAGACGCCATATCTACATCTAACCAAGAAGAAGGAGAAAGCAGAAAGCAGATTGCGTACAGCACCAAGTGCCGTAGCGTCCTAATCTATTTTTCGCTCGAGCTTGTACATTTAAGGATGTCAAAGAGCATATAATAATGAATAATAATAATAATCTATCTGCTAATAGGATTCCATTATTTTCACAAAGGCCAAGAGATGGACATTTAACATTTCAGCTTCGGCACTGTTCCCTCCCCACTTGGCCGATTTGACGTAAAGCCAAAAGCCCTCTGATTGGTCTTCTTCCTCTTGCCTTTATTTATTTATTTATTTATTTTTTACTTATTTGTTTTTCAATCACTGATTCTATACTGAATGAGGTTATATTCCGTGGCGGAAGACAACAAAAATGATCGCTCTCCATAAGATTTTTTTATTATTATTTAAATTGAATTGATTGACAAAGAGTCATACCTATATGTTTATTTGCACAGTTTCATGTGTATCCGAAATTTTTTTTAAGATCAATAATTATTGAAAATGAAGTAAAGCTGTTAGAAAAAATCAATATTAACCGTTAAAAAACTGACTTGGACTTTTAATAGTTTTAAGAATGATGCAAGAATATCAATAAATTTTTACCCAGAATGTGCTCGCCAGTCACCACTACGAGCTCTTCAGAAATGTAAAAGTGCCCATAAGCCTACAGAATAAGAGTAAAAATGGTACGATTGTTAAATTTGCCAAACGACCATCACTTTTTAGAGTATGACCTACTAATATTATGAAAGTATCAAAATAGCCCTCCAAAAATACTTATAAACTTTTAGTCAAGGTGTACCAAACACTAGATTTTTTTGTTCAAGGTTCAAAAGTACTACAAAATGTGTAAATAAATTAATTCTTTTAGTTTTGGCAAAAAAAAACTATTAAATTTTGCTAGGGTTTAGGATAAAAAAATACTCATAAATTTATATCAAAAATTCACCCAACACTACATATTTTTTGCTGGGTCATGTAAGTTTAAAACGTGTGTAAAAATAACACTTCAGTTAAACCAATGTAGTAGTAGTTAGTTTTTGGATTGTGGGGCATGCAATATTGTTATAAAAATACCAAAATACTCCTAACTAGAAAAAAAAATCCCATATAAATACCATTTAAATTCTAAAATTTCAGATTTGTCATTCTAATTTCACAAAAGATAAATAGATCTACAAGTATTAAATTGGGATTTACAAATTTTAGCAAATTACCTCAATGCCCTTTCTCTCATCTTTTTTGTCTTCTCTCTCACTTCATGTTCAGATAGCTCTTCTCTCTCTCTTCAGGTTCTCTTCTTCCTTGAAGGGTAGCTGAACTGGAAGGCTGGGCATGAATTGTCAAAAACTTCGATGAAGAAGAAGATGTGGTCTCTCCTACAGCGTTCTAGTATGTTTCTAATGAATATTTCATGATACTTGGGGTTTGAGACTTGGTACCTCTTGTCTTTCGTCTCCCCTTCTCAATCTCATCGCCAGCACTATGGGGAAGAGAGAAATAAATAAAGTTTAGAGAAGAAGCAGAGAAAAAATGGGGAAGAAAGAGAGAGAAGAAGAGAGATAGGAAGAAGAAGCACTTATAGAGCCAAGAAATTTTTATGCAAGGTTTGAGAGTATATTGATTAACTTTCTATTATCTTCTAATAAAGTTTGTTCCTAAAGTATGCTATTTTGTTAGTTTCCATTTTCTGCTATGTTCTGTTTAATCGGGGATGAGTAATAAATTTCATTACCTAAGTAGTAAATTTTGATACTTGAGTAGTCAATAGCCCTGGTTGGTTTGTGGTGAAATGACAACGCTTACGATGTGAATGACTATATTTGTATTAGTACTAACAACTTTTCCGTAAAGCCAAGGAGATTGACTTGTTATTGAAATTGAACTGATTTGTTAATGGAACTGATCAGATTTGTTATGGTAATAACTACATTGTGGTGAAACAAATTAAGTTAAGTGGATTGTGGGATTTACTACACTTCGCAACGGAATTGACTATGTTCCTTTTATAATGATTAGATTATTGTGAAGAAAATATAGTATAGTGGATGACTACAAAGTGGTGTTTTTGCAGGAGGGAAATGGTATTAGAAGGAGAGCCAAGCAAAGAAGTGAAGAGTAGATGCATATTGTTCCGAAAAGAATTTCCTAGGTTAAAGAAGAAGTTTAAGAAGAGTGTTGAACACACAAATGCATTATCCAACTATTGTTATGATATTTGACTTATGATTATAAATAGAATTTGTTTACAAAAATATATTTAATCTGTTAGTGGTAGTCTCACCCAAAATGGGGTAAATTGGGTGAGTTATAAAAATTTTGCAAATTAAAACCAGTAAGATAAATAGAAACAGAGAGCGAAGGTTAGTGCGATCCGTACAGAGTAGACACAAAATTTATACTGGTTTGGTCTCAACCACTTGACCTACGTCCAATCTTTAGAACACTTCTGAGTATTTCACTAAATTTCAAGATTAATCGGGCTCTTAGTATCGCAGTACAGTAATTGATTCGCTCAATCACTCCCCCTTACTATCTGTAAGGTTATAAACCTACTCAAGAGTTCACACTCTTGAGTTTCACTCAAAAGGTGATTAAAGACGATATGTAAAACTCTCGTACAGAGTAAATGGATGAGAAACACTGAAGCCCATTAAAAACAAGAACAGAGTATTGAATGCAACAGTAAGTTATTTGCAGAAGGTAGCTCGCATAATCAATTCCCCACATTCAATGCTTCTTTGAGCCTTTTATAATTGAGGAAGTTTAATAACTGTTAGACGGAAGAGCTTCTAGCCATTGAGAGTTCAGTTGCGTGTCTTCCCAGTTGCAACGGTATTAGCATTACTGCCATTTAATGCTTCTGACATGGTAGGCTACAGGCTACTAAATAACTGTCGGATAGCCATTGAACTTTCTTTGTAATCTGTAAAAATACTTTAATCTAATAAGTTTTTCCTCCAGAATAACATTCAGGAATATAACTGATAAAATGATAGTAATATTCTTATGTTAAGAGAGAAGTTAATCAATCAGACATCAGATTCAATAACTCGAAATTGAACAACCTTGATCAAAGATATGATCGATAACTAGTTTATTGATTATGTTATCGATTAATAAAGATGAAAGATTTTGAGTCATATAACTATATTTATCAATCATGTTATGGATTAACAAACGATCTATCCAGTGATCGATAAAGGGACAGATTAACTTCAAAAAGAATATGCAGAAAAAATAGCTCAAGGTCACCTATGATTTTGAAACTCTTAAAATAGAATATTAAGATAATCATCAAGGTTGAGAAAAGCTCGAAGAGAAATATTCAACATATTCTTAAATCTCATTGTTGCCTCTGTTATAAAAAGAGCTGGATTATTAATCGAGTAAGTGATCAGAAAATATTTGATCGATCAATTTATCGATAAAAGTAAGTAAGAGAGAATTTATTTTCAAAGTATATTAATCGAATAATTTATCGATAAATGGATGACAGGAAAGTTGATCGATAAAACACAGTTTGACAAAAATTTCCATAAAGAGCATAAATCCTAAAATGATCGAGTAAGTGATTGATCAGAGACTTATCAATCAGGTGATCGATATGATGTAGTGAAAAAGTTCAGTTCAAAAATCTCAAAAGCTAGTTTGATCGATCGCATAATGTGAAAACAGAATATTCAGTGGAGCGAATGATCGATCATTTTATTGATAAATTAATAATCGAGCAAGTGATCGAAGAAAGTTTTAAATAGTTTAAATCAGAGAAAAGGTATTGATCGATCATTTGATCAATAAACGATTGATCGATCAGGTGATGGATAAAGTAATTTTCAAAAGCACTTAACTAGCAGAAAAAATTTTGATAAACATGTGAGATATTATGCAATGATAGAATAGGTTATTGATAAAGCTGTGATCAATAAATGGTGATTCAAACAAATACAACGAGAGTGGAAAGTTTTACCTTTTATCTGTCTTCTTATCGATAACTCATTTATCAATCAAGTGATCGATAAACACTTACCAAAACTTGTGTCCTATTATCTGTCAATTGTTCGATCACTAGATTATCGACCAATTGATCGATAATTTTCAGCAAACTTCTATACAAAACAGTGTTAACAATGATCAATCAACTAATCGATCAACACATACAAACTTGATTTATCTATCAAGTTATCGATTAATATTTCTACAAAGTTATCAGTTTTCATATGAACTTTATCTAACAAGTGATCGATAAATCCTTGATCGATGAGGTGATCGATCAATTTACTAAAACATAGATTCCTTAATTTGTTATCATCAAAACCTTAAACCTAGCATAATCACTATTATTGCACATTTATTGATAACAAGTGCAAATTATGTTTACCAGCATTTGCAAAGTGATTGACAACTTTCAAAATAAATATACCAATTTCCATAATGTGTTTTACAATCTCTTTATTTGTGACCATTTCTAATCCATTTGCGCACAATTTTACTAGACATATAATAAGAATAACAAATTTTAAAATAAAAATGACCATTTGCATAAAGAGTTTTATAATTTGTTATAAGCTATTTGCAGACAGTTTTATAAAACAAGTAAAATGAATCACAACTTACATAGTGAAAGTTGCCATTTGCATTAAGGCATTTGCAGCTTGTTTATTTATAACTATTTTTAATGCTTTTGCCTACAATTTTACTAAATATCTAACATAACAACTTACAAAATAAAAGTGACTATTTGCTTGCAACCTATTTTAATCAACGTGTTAGCATGTGAAAGCTTTCCACTGCCTTTTCTTTTTCTTACTCCAGGGGCGTATTAGTCATTCTACCAAAATTTGCAAATTCCAAATTCATACCTCATATCTATTTGGTTATTTTATTTATTTGAATCACCTTTTTGTCTTTTTCAATTTCAGCAATTATTTTTATGTCATTTTTTCTTAAAAAAAATGTCTCCCTCTTAACATTTGCATTCATCTTGGTTCGTCTTCTCAATACCCATGAAAGTAGTACTGGAAAAACGGGGCAGGCTTGTCCTGACCCGTCACGGGCTCAGACTTAAACACAAAATATACCATGCAAAATATACTTCTTTGATTAAACTATAATGCAAATTCATCAATACAAAATATACCTACAACCCCAACAAGAAGTTAGATGAACAGAAGTGAGCTCACAAAAAAGACCGAAGGTAGTATTAAACAAATCATGGGAAAGGAACTTACACCAATGTAATATGTGATATGGCCTAGTTTTAACCCTGGCCCCAAAAATAAATAAATGATGATTTATTTGACTTTATGCGAAATTAGTTTTACATTTTATTGATACTGACTTTTGCAATTGAGTTTTTTTTTATATAAAAACGAATAATTAATCTCTCAACTAAAACTGCTTCTTATATAAAATTTTGAATAAATGTTTATTTTTTTTGAGCAAATATTTTTAATAAATGCTTAGAAAATACTTTTTCTCACAAAAGCTATCAATGGATTTAAAAGTATTTTGATACTAATGAACTAATCAAGCCGTTTTTAAGTTTTAACAATAGTTTCAAATTTAATATATAAAGAATTCCATAAAAAGAAGTTCAAAATTACTAAATTCTAAATAATGAATTTCTTTAACAAGGTCAATCTCTTTGGCTTTCACAATTGATGAATTAATACATGAACAAAACTTAGATCAAGTTAATTAGGTCATCATTACTTAACCTATGAAAGCACCGTTATCTAGGTAGAGGGGGATCGTGTTTGTGGTTTTCATATGAGGGAGGTTTCGTTTTTTAGCATGAATGTTCAAATTTCTGGAACTGCAGTATTCTTGTTTCTATTTGATTTAAATTCTAAGAAAGTGTGAGGAAGGAAGAGAGAGTCATCACTATGAGGGAAATTTGAGGCTCAAGGCAATCACATTCCTAAATATGAAACCTAAAGTTAGTTTATTGGAAATAAAACTTCACGAGTCACTTGTATTTTTTTAATAGCTAAAAATAAAAAAGTATCAGCACATAGCTATTTCTGTTATCTATTAACATAAGTTATGATGTATTGATAGGTACACAAAATCAGTAAAACTAATTTCAGTGCTCATCGCAGTGGTAAGTATCATGATACTCATTGCTGGGTCTAGATTTTAAAATTTAAAATCATTTTAAAAGTGCTTTTTGCATGTGCCAAACACCTCTTTAATCTGTTAGAAAACATGGGCTTGTTCTCTAGTATGCTAGTAAGAATGGATGAAAGGTTGAAGCTTTGAAGCATGGATGTGCCGATTATCCCTTATTGGAATGAAAATGTGAAGTTGTTGACAACATATCCCATGCCTCTCACCACACTTAGAAGACAACATTTAAAGGTGACAAAACTTCCATATCCGCTTTGTATGGTGTAGATTCAATCAATGATGAGGTAATAAGAAATATCACGCTCAGAATTAGTATGGTGTCAATGCACTCAGTAGGGGAGAACGACCAAAGAAGCAAACATCATATTCGTTAAATTCACAGCAAGGAATCATCAAGGCCACCATCTTTAGATTCATCAAGAGAGAAGCTTTATTAACCGAAGACAAGGAGAAACATGGAGCTATCATAGATGATGACGACAAAGAATCCTTAAGAAAGGAAGATCAGCTCTATACTGATCTTCGTCTTCATTATTCCATTCTTCTCATCCACACTCCATATTGGCTTTAATGGTTGCTAAATCTGAAATGCGGCGTTTTTGGGAACCTCAATTAACGGAAAACTGACTCTGAAGCTCATCGCTGCTGAAATGGCTCTAGCGTCTTCTCAATAGATTTGAAAGATCAACCTAACGACTGATAAAATTTGATCAAGAAATTATTAGAGCGATGGGGATGCTGGCCATCAAGAAATTCTTGGACTTGAAAGTCATGTAAGAATTGATATGTGACAAGCAAATAACTCACTAGAGACTAAAAGTGAACTAAAATGAAAGCAAATTTTAGAGATGAAAACTAAAATGAGATTAAATTTTAAGGACTAAAATAAAAAAAAGTTAAATTTTAGAGTTAAAAATGATGTTAACCTGAAAATATTTGATCAACATTTTTGTTAATATCATTGGAATTAAAGAATTAACAAAAAAATATTTTGAAAAATTAAAGAAGAGTTATTATAATCTTTGGTCTTTTAAATTTGCTTTCATTTTGGTTTTAGTCCATTAAGTTTCAAATCATAAGTTTTGATCCCTTAAGTGTTAAAATAATTAAAATTTTTATTAGATTATAAGAGCTAATGTAAAAATAACAAGAAATTTGAGATATTAAAACTTATGATTTGGAGACAAAATTGAGAGGTCAAAGTTTGTATTAACCGAATCAACATAAGATTTTTTATAAAACTAAAGTATTAAGAATGTACTTTTCCTGTAAATTAAAGGATTAACCATGCTTATGTTGCCATCATCATCAGTTCAGTAAAATTGCGTAGTGTGTGCCTGTGGCATCAGGTATTTGGCCGGAAGGGAGGGAACTGTTGGGCTGCTAGAATCCGAGTCCGACAGAAGGCGGAAGGGAACACTACTTCACTCGTATGAACTCGCCATCTCAGAGCTCCGACTCCCTTTGCAGCTGTCGGGGATGATTCTACGACGGCTCCGAATGTCAGCTATGTTTATTCGACCTCGCAATTCGACGACTTTGTATTTAAACTATCATTTTTTCATTCCTTCAGAGCATTATACTTGCAAAACACTCAGTCTCATAGGCTTCTCTGATACCTTCAACTTTCGCTACACTCACATCGTCTTCTACTCGTCATCTGGGCCTGAATCTTATGATTATTTAACACAATTTCTACCTTTTGGGACCTCCAGTTCTGTTTTTTCAAGCGTAACTTGTCCTAGGGAACGGCGAAAAGTAGTAGTGGGATTATCCAAGATCATTAAGGATGAGAATGGTTTTGTGTTGAAGAGATTTAAACGAGATTTTTGTCCACTCTTTCTTGTGAGGGTTATGACATTGTTGGAGACCCGGGAAGCTGCATTTGCATTCTTCAAACTAGCATTAGGGGATAATGATTCTGAGGAGACTGTTCGATTGTGTTGCATTGCGGCGGGTATTTTAGCTGCACAGAATCTTAGGTATTTTGCGCAAGACATGGTTTCATGGGTAATTGCAAGGATGGGAGCTAGCAAAAGCAAACAACTTGTGCAGTTTATGTGGAAGATTCACTCCCACTATGAGTCTGATTTTTCTGTCCTGGATACCCTTATGAGGGGCTTTTTGAATGCGGAAATGAGTTCAGAGGCATTGGAAATTTTGCATAAAATGAGGGATGTGGGAGTTGTGCCAAGTGCATCTGCAATAACCATTCTTATTAAGTTGTTACTTAGAATTGGTGATTATAGTAGTGTGTGGAAGATACTTAAAGATATGCTCCGTAGAGGGCCATATCCTTGTAATATAACGTTTAACGTGATGATTTATGGGTTTTGTAGACAAGGGTGGCTTGTAGGTGGAGAAAGTTTGTTACATTTGATGCAAAAGTTTGGGTGCAATCCTGATGTTGTTACGTATAATATTGTTATTAATGCATACTGCGTTTGGGGGAAGACTTCAGTTGCGGTGGATTGGTTGCAATTCATGATCAAATGTGGTTGCAAACCGAGCATTGCAACATTTAATACCATTGTTCATGCGTTTTGTAGGGAGGGAAATGTGACTGAGGCAAGGAAATTTTTTGATACATTTCAAGATATGAATGTTACTCCAAATACTGTGATGTACAACACGCTGATGGATGGATATGTCAAGGCGAGGGAAGTTGGTCAAGCAAACATGCTTTATGAAGAAATGAGGAGTAAAGGCATCTGTCCTGACTGTGTAACTTTTAATATTTTGGTTGCAGGCCATTATAAGTATGGTAGAAAAGAGGATGGGAATAGTTTGTTAACAGATTTATCTGTTCAAGGAATCCTTCCAGACTATTCATTGTATGACATAACAATCTCGTGCCTGTGTTGGGCGGGAAGACTTAATGAGACTGCAAAACTATTAGAAGACCTGCTTGAAAAGGGAATACCTCTTAGTGTAGTTGCCTTTAACACTTTAATTGCAGCCTATAGCAGGGCTGGGTTAGAAGACAAGGCATTTGAATCCTATAAAACTATGATTAAATGTGGTTTGACTCCTTCACCCTCCACATTTAATTCTTTGCTTATGGGTTTGTGTTGGAAAGGGAGGATGCTAGAAGCCAGGACGCTTTTTGGTAGGATCTCAAAGAAAGGCCTTCCCCTCAACAAAGTGGCTTATACAGTTCTTTTGGATGGATACTTTAAGATGGGTGATCTCTACGGGGCTAAGTCTATCTGGACTGAAATGAAAGAAAGTGGTGTATATCCAGATGCTGTTGCCTTTTCAGCCTTAATTGATGGGCTCTCAAAGTCAGGCTTGGTTGAGGAGGCACACAAAATGTTCTTAGAAATGTCAGCCGAAGGTTTTGTTCCTAATAATTTTGCATACAATTCTTTAATTCATGGGTTTTGTGACTGTGGGAAAATGTATGAAGCAGTAAGGTTGGAAAAAGAGATGAGGCTAAAAGGTCTCCTTCCTGATACCTTTACCCTGAATATAATTATTGGTGGGTCTGTAAACAAGGGCCAAATGAAGCCTGCACTTGATGTGTTTTAAGCGCTTGCAAAACTTGACTTGGCACAAGCTGGAAATCTGATAGGGTTGGTTGACCTTTTTCTACAGTGGATGAGGATGACACAAATCATTGCAACCATTTTGGAGCTAATGTATATGTAAGCTCTTCTTTCCAAAGGATAAAGGCTTGCACTTTATCCTTTCGAGGCATGTGAGGGAATCATGTTTCTGCCAAGGACTTGAGGATGTTGTCGTTCCAAAATGTGGTAAACCGGATGAAGAATTGGCAATGGATATGCGTGATAGGTACTACAGTCTACAGTCTACTCATAAAAATTCTTATATATTGGCTCTTGCTTCTGGCGCCTTGTGCTTTTAGTATGTTGCTGACTCTGTAGATGTATAATAATTGCTAAGGAGAACATTATTTTTAGTCTCATTTGATCTTCTATTTTCCTGGTAAACAGAATGGTTATCATTTGCCTTCGGGCAGTCTTTTCTAAAAGTAACAGTATTTGGGTTTGAGGATTAAGGATTTGATGTTTGCTGCTTTGTACATATTCACTTGTAAAGATGATGATGGTCAAGGTAGAGGTGTTAATAATATGATAAAACCAATCCTAGTCTCTTCACAGTTCAACCTTTCGGGATTAAAGTGGATTTCTGTAGAAGGTATATTTGAAAGTTCATTCCTCAAGTTATATACCAAAGGTCTTTAGCAAGAGAGAGTATATTATAAATATTAACAAAAGAATGTTGAGCTGACCTAAAGATTTAATCTTTTGATAAAATGGTCTACAATAGATATTGTTACTTAGTACTTACAATTTTATGATGAATTGCAGGTCATATATTTGTATAAGAAATTTGCCATGAACAATCCTCTTTTTTTTTGTCTGAGAAGAAGCGTATGTTTAGTTACAAGAATCAGGAAGGAGGTGGAAATTGGTACTTGAGTGCTCAACATCTTTTCATCTTTGAACATCTCAGAAATTTCGTGGGTAATATATTGCTTTAAATTGAGTTCATAGATTCTCAGGTTCCATTGACATTTTGCACTTACGCTTTTGTTGGTATAATGCTGTTGGCATTCTGGTAACTGTTTATAAGCAGGAACAATTCACACTTGATGAGTGTGCAGAAATTGAAACACTATGCCTATTACTTGAGGTAAGTATATCAGTTGTCTTTGGCTGAGAGCACTCGTTCATCTGGGATTTATATGTGAACTAATTCCTACTATTCTGGTAGAGCTGTTTTATGTCCTCTTCTTCTGGTGGAAATGATTTTGAAGATCATTTACGGACTGCTTTGCGAGAAAGTGATATAGTATTTCTACATTGGGTAGTTATCATCTTTCATGTACATTGGTGCTCTGGCTGCTGCATTGGTCAGTTGGGTTCTAGTACTTTCAATCACCCTGCCTATGGACAGCCCTGTCTAACTGTTCTGAGGAAACTTAGTAGTCAATTCTGTGGGGCATTTGAAGAACGAAGTAAAGGTACCAGAGAACCTATTTCCTTTCCAGATCACATCATTTCCCTCCATAATAACTTGATCAATTAGGGCCCATGCTATATGAGAACACAAATGTTTTCCTGGCTTGGTGCATTAAATTTCAGACAATGAACTTTCTTATTTTTTTTAACAGGAGCATTTGTTTGATGAGCTTCTGTTTTTGTGCCGCAATGCTAATGGTGAAATATTGAGTGCTGCCACAGATGCCATATCACACATCACATAGATGCAAGTTTCTTTCTCATGATTTGTTTAATACTACCTCCGGTCTTTTTGTAAGATCCAATTAACTGAATTATGTGGTTTAAGAAATATGTTAATATTAGTTAAAAGTAATAAATATGTAAGAAATGTACTTTTTACCCCAAATATGCCTTTATTTACAAGAGGGTAGGTGAGAGAGAAATGGTTAGAAAAAAGATAAAAGGAAATGTATGAGAAAAAGATAATGCAATTAATTGCGGATAAAATTGGTCAAAATAAATTTAATATTTATATAACCTCAAATTGGATCTTATAAAAAGAACTGGAGGGAGTATTACTTATCATGTGAGCATTTACTGCATCTTTTATTATTTTTCAGTAGGTTAGTGCATTGGATTTATCTTGTGGTTGCTTACCATAATGATGTTAATACATTTTGTGGGCGCATCCAACATTCAAATGGTGAACCTGATGAGTGGTTGCCAAAGAGACAATTTTTTTCCCTTCTGATGGATATATTTTTGTGGAATGTAAGAACTTGAATTTTATGCCTGTGCCACAACACGTATAATCCATTTGTATGTGATGCACTATCCAGTACCACCCAAATCTGGTTTGTGTTGTTGCTTTTGAATTATTTATGTCATAATTACCGTTGTATTCTTGTTGAACCTAGCATACTAAGTTTTGTTTCATATGATAAAGTATAGTTCTTTCTAATTGGTCCCTGTTTCATCTTTGACAAGAAAACAAGTGACACATGTTTATTATATTTGTAAACTATCTGCTGGTTAATTTAGTTATGCTGAGTAATAACTTTTGCAGTGTTTTCCACTTTGTTTAAGATTGCTTTACATATGTAAAGCATCTATTTTGCAGATGAACAAGAAGTCTTTGTTCAAAGCCCAGCCGGATATCATCACAATGCTCAACATTTACGCTCTCGAGGTAGCATACGGGTAGATTGAACCAATGAAAGCGACCGGAAAATGTGGCCGAGTCATTAAAAACCAGAAAGATGATTGGATTATGGTATAATGCTGTAAGTTGGAGCCTTATTTGCCAGCTTAAGCTCATGGCTGAAATCAAAAGGGATTGTGAAGAATGTTGGAACTGAGACTTTAAGGATGTTAAAGTTAAAAGTTTTCAACATGATCAACTACTCTTTTTCTTGTTCTTTTGGTAACAATGATAAGCTATTTTCTAGGAATGTTTTTAATTGACAAATGACGTGTCTAAATTGGAAAGTAACATAATAAACTATGGCTCTGATCACATAGGCCCAGATGATGAATGAAATGAGTCCGAGTGTTGCGTGAATGATAAGAACATCCTTTTAAGGCCCCTTTTTCTGGGCTCTCACGGCCTGGGCCCGGAGACCATTCGGCCGGTTATCTTTGTCTCATCAGAAGGCAAAATTCCTTTTAGGTGCTTACTTTTTGGGGGTGTTTGAATATCCTGAAAAATGTCTTTCAGAAGTTTTTTCACAAATCGAGATAAATTCCTTCACATATTTACCTCGTAGACTGTAAAATCACTTTTGAAACCATGGTTTGGTTTTCATCCAAATACTTTTTTTATCCCATAAAATTACTTTTGAAAACCTAATTCAAACACCCCTTAAAATAATTTAATCACATTTGTGCGTGCAAACATGTCAATACCAGTCTTAAGCTTTAAGTCTTATCCAAACGTGATAGTCTTGGATAACTTACCATTCAAGTTAGAGGACACCCCTTCAGTGTGCTTCTCTCAAATTGTATTTTGCAATTTGTTGACAAAGCTAAAACAAAACACAATAATTATCATAAATCTTTTCATATAATTTCTCATTCTTTTCCGATGAAGGAGGTTCTAGGCTTCTAGGAATAAGGAAAAAAAAAACATAATAATAATTATTGCATTTTCTTCGTCTTTAACATTTGTTTAAGAATATTTCTTGACCAATTTAGTAAGTGTTTGGATAGAATCAAAATTATGGTTTTAAAAGTGTTTTTACAGTATACGAAATAAATACGTTGAGGAGTTTATCTCGATTATGGAAAAAGTGTTTTCACAAGCACTTTTGATATTTCCCAGACACCTCCTTTAATTCAACTTTTCTACGGACATCAAGGGTCTTCAATTTATTTACGTCTTTAATGCCCAGATTGAACTTTTGACTATTGTATATCTCTGACGACATGAGAGATTTCTTTCAACTCAAGTTCGTTTTGACTTCTATGCCTACAAGTTAATATTCTCTCCCGTGCTTTATGGGAAAGTTACTTAATTAATTTAGATGAAGTTAAAAAAAATCAAATAAATTAGTTAATTATAATAATTGTAGCATAATTTTCTTAAAACACTTCTGTATAACATTAAATCACACATTAGTTTATAAGTTAGGTAAATTAGTTTATCAAAAAATAATAAATATAAAAGATAAAATGAATTGACATATATTTATGATGAAATTAAACATTTTTAACTACTCAGTAGGTCTTAATTAAAGACGTGAGGTAGTGTGGTAGTTGCCTCAAATAATAGACAACAACAAGGTTTTGTCATCTATGCCTAAAAGTTAATATTACTTGTTATACTTAATATAAAAGCTACTTAATTAATTTAAATAGATTAAATAAATTAGTTAATTATAATAAAGTGACAAGTATAAGAGATAAAGTAATTGAGATCTTATATTTATATCAAAATTAAATTTTTTAACTAGTTCTTATATTAAAAATAAGAGATAGCGTGCGTGTATAATTGCCTTAAACAAATAGACAACACTAATAACATGGTCAAAAAATGTATCCTATAATTATAAATAATTTGTTATTCGACGCCAACTATTTTTGCTTGTAATCCATTACGAGTCATAAATGTTTGAAATGGCTTTTTTTGTTAAACATTAAAAAAAAAAAGAAGCTTACTTCGCTGACAATTGAAACTAACTTTTTCAAAATGTTGATGATAAAAGATAAATTCTTGTCTCCATTAAATAGTTGTAATAAAAACTAAAGCAGTCATTAAATTGATTGAAGTTTTAATTCAGAATTCACAGACCCATACTACTTAATGAGATTAAAAAAAAAAAAATATTATGATATAACTCTAAAAAAGTTGATATTTAAATAAAAAGATATTGCTTTATAAACAAATAAAACATTCAATAAAATGATTAAAGACATCAATTCGACTTAATAAAAGAGGGAAAATAAATAAAATCCAACAAGATCAATCTATTAAGATTTTTACAAAGGGGAGTTTGGATACACCGAAATCAATTAAAAAAATGTGCTGATCCAACCACTCCTCAAATCAAAAAGAGAATGATTCGTTAGTCTCACTACAAATCCAAGTTGGGTTTATTTTTATTTTTTTCCCTTCAATGCAAGTTGTGTTTTAAACTATTAAACAACAAATGTTGTTTTAATGACTTTATCATTTTTTTCCCACATGCTTGCTTTGACTGATAATATCTTTATAACCAGCATCAATGGATATTCCTTAGGAGGTAGGATACTTATCAAACAAGGAAAGGATATTCCTTAGCATGATGGTAATAGTACTAATAAAAATTATTATTAATTAATATCATCAAAAGCATGCAAGTCCTTGGAATTATTTTTTACTAGTTCTTATATTAAAAATAAGAGATAGCGTGCGTGTATAATTGCCTTAAACAAATAGACAACACTAATAACATGGTCAAAAAATGTATCCTATAATTATAAATAATTTGTTATTCGACGCCAACTATTTTTGCTTGTAATCCATTACGAGTCATAAATGTTTGAAATGGCTTTTTTTGTTAAACATAAAAAGAAAAAAGAAAAGCTTACTTCGCTGACAATTGAAACTAACTTTTCAAATGTTGATGATAAAAGATAAATTCTTGTCTCCATTAAATAGTTGTAATAAACTAAAGCAGTCATTAAATTGATTGAAGTTTCTAATTCAGAATTCACAGACCCATACTACTTAATGAGATTAAAAAAAAAATAACATATTCTGTATAGCTCTAAAAAAGTTGATATTTAAATAAAAAGATATTGCTTTATAAACAAATAAAACATATTCAATAAAATGATTAAAGACATCAATTCGACTTAATAAGAGAGGAAAAATAAAATAAAATCCAACAAGAGCAATTTATCTAAGATTTTTAACACAGGGGAGTTTGGATACACCGAAATCAATTAAAAAAATGTGCTGATCCAACCACTCCCCAAATCAAAAAGGCGAATGATTCGTTAGTCTCACTACAAATCCAAGTTGGGTTTTATTTTTATTTTTATTTTTATTTTCCTTCAATGCAAGTTCTGTTTTAAAACTATTAAACAACAAATGTTGTTTTAATGACTTTATCATTTTTTTTCCCCACATGCTTGCTTTGACTGATAATATCTTTATAACCAGCATCAATGGATATTCCTTAGGAGGTAGGATACTTATCAAACAAGGAAAGGATATTCCTTAGCATGATGGTAATAGTAATAATAAAAATTATTATTAATTAATATCATCAAAAGCATGCAAGTCCTTGGAATTAACCTTTTTTTTTTTTAATACTTGTTCAGTCTTAAATATCCCTTTTAACATCAGGGCCAAAAGAAAAGGAAAAAAAAAACCATTTTTGACTTCAAATTTTAAAAGTCTAAATTTCTCATATAATTTGCAAATTTTCAATGACACATCTCCCAATAACAATTTGTCTTGTCCCCTTGATACGAAGTGCGTCTGAAAAATTTGACACGTCTCTCTCAAGCTAGGGCTAAGCAAAAATAAGAAACGTGTCTATATAAATATATATATAATATATATATATGAATATAAGAAATTTATAAATACACGTAAGATATGCACTAGCACTAGTACTAGCACTATTTTTAGTGAAAAAGTGTTTTTAAAAAGTAATTTTTTTATAAATTGAGATAAATTCCTTTACATATTTATTCCTTATATCATAAAAGTATTTTTACAATTATAATTTAGTTTCCACCCAAAAACCTATTTTAATGTAAGAACTAATTAGGAAGTTGAATTTAATTCTAATGATAAGATATCAATCTACTCATATGTAATTTTTTTAAAATATCCTTATTGATTATAAGAGATTCCCACTAGAAAATAGTTCAAATACAATAAATAAATAGAGTAATTTAGAAAAATTAACACATTTGTTATAAATAATCAATTTAACTAATTTTTTTTAATATTTTCAAAGCTTTTATATTAATAATTAGATATTGAGTGTGTACAAATAGAATAAATAGAAAGCAGCATTCTCTCTGCTCTAGAGGACAAGTCATTTTTATGAAAATTTTTTAGTCAGTAATATAAATCACTTAGCAAATAATTAATATTTATTTGTTAATTTTGTTCTCGTAATTAATGCTTAAAATTTAAATATAATTTTTTTGTATTTTTCTTTCTCCTTTACAATCTCATTTAATCTAGATGAGATTAGGGGGAAAAAATAATTTGAGATGAATTTAATAAGTTAACTATTATTCTTAGGAAATAAAAATCACTAACATGAGATTTTCTCGTTTATGAATAGTGTTGGCTATCAATAAATAATTGAGTGAGTTTCTTAGGACGAGTACAAGTTGAATACTTATATTTATTTGACTTAGTCGCCCTTTTGTCTCCTCAGATAAATGGTGTAATTTACTTAAGATGTAATTTCGTACATCAGCATGAAATTTATTTGAAGTGAAGTATATTATTCATAACTAATCCATAAATTTTGTACTTTTTTATTTTTATTATTTCTTAATTCAGTCATATATATAGATTTTTTCTCATTAATTTTAAAAGAGTTATAATTATAATTGTCTAGTAAATTTCACCATTCTTTTTTAAACCACAATTATCACAATATCTTCCATTTTCAAATAATATATATTATTATCCTGAAAAATTTAAAATCGTGATAAGATATCATTTTAATAACATTTCAATGAACAGTAATATTTTTTCCCCTTAATTTGGTTACTCGTTTTATTTGAAAGAAAATTAAACCTATATGTCTCAATTTTTATTGTCCTTTTTCTTTTTTAAAATTCGGCAATCAATTAATTTTAATTATGCTCTTAATATTTATCCTGTTGCAAGATCTCCTGTCTATACTCAAACTTATCTGTAAGTAAACCTTTTTTCAGAAATGAAAAAAATCTGAATCTGTGAGTACTAACTTTTAACCCGACGTTGCATGTGATCAAATAGTACACGCCAATTTTAATTTTTATCTATATTTAATAAATGTCATCTTCGATTATATGCCAAAAAAAAGTCATTTTCGACTGAAAAGAAAAAAATCATTTATGTAGAAAATGAAATATATGACGAGAGCAATAAAGAACAATCATAAATCCTTTTAATGTTTGCTGGACCTATAAACCAATGATGTCAAATGCCCTCTCTGTTTTTTTTTTGTTTTTTAATGTCCTCCGTTCAAAAGAAAATTGTACGTTTGAACTCAATTTGAGAGCATAATATTAAAATAAACCAAACAAGAGCAACAACATTGTTATTGATAATTATTTTGCGGTTTTATCTTAGAAAATCATGTCGGTTTTTGAACTTGTGCAAGTTACAAACTCAGTCAAAATCATCACTTCACCCATCAATTTTGCAGATTTTGCAGTTTTAATTTACAACGTCTTTTTAACTGGCTCTCTAAACATACTAATTTTTTGAATTTAATTATGATTAATAACTTTCTATATGAATTTCATTTGAATATGATAAACTATGACGTTTGATGGATTTAATTTCAGTTATTTTAATTTAAAATATATTTAAATAAAATTTTTCTTTTTTATGTCAATTATTTAATTATATGCTTGTAATAGTTATTTATTGAGAAAAGTAAACTCTTACAAGTTTAGGATTTGAATTTATATCCTTGCAAAAAACGAAAAAAAAAAAAGGCGCGGACTAATGCGGTTTTGACTGCTACAGATTAATTTTTAGTAATACTCGTTACTTTTAATGTATTTCACCGAAACTAAAATTTTTTATATATATAACTTAGAGTATTTTTAAGTTAATTTGGGTTTAAAACTAATCTTTATCGGATCAGGAATGTTAAGATTAAAACTTTTCTAATAAGTGTACTTTTTAAAATTTAAACTTGCATTCTTTTCCTCACGAGAATGAAATTTAAAGTTGTATTCTTTTCTTAAACTATTTACATTCTCAACCAACAATTGTGCCCATTAACTTTGTTTTAAAAGTTTAACAACATAACCTTTTAACTTTGTATCTATTTAAAATACACTATACTCTATGAAAATAAAGCCTAGAAAGTAATAAATAAAAGATAAAATTATACAGTTATATAAAAAAAAATTAATAATATGATTTATAAATAAGATAAAATATTTTTTTTATCTCTCTGTTATAAGTAAGAGCAAGAAAGTATATTAATAACAAAGAGATAAACAGAAGGTTTACAACCGACAAAGCAAGCACACCAACCCCGGAAATGACCTAACATTGACATTATTGATTAGGGATTTAGAATCCTTTAATATTATAAAATCACCGTAAGAGTTAAAGAGAAAAAGTAGGTTTAATATTTTAATCAAACATTGTTTTTTGGTTCAAACAACCGTATAATCCCCGCAATTGGAGAGAGATAGGTACAATGGTATATCAGTGTTTGGACCCCACTAATTAAGTAGGACCCACCATCATGTCTATCTCCTTTTTGACTTGGGAAAAATTAAACATGTAAGTTAAAATAATTTCACCTTCTTTTTAATTAAGATTTTGCAATTTTATTTTATTTAATTTGGGCCTTTTAATTTTTCAATTATAGGCACTCGTATTAATTATGCCACATGTTACAAATAAAATCAAAATCACTCAGCTTATAAGTTACATTTATATGTACGAAAATGTTTATGAGCATAATAATTTTTATTTTTTATGATGATAATAAATAAATTTATTTCACATTTTTTTATTTTTTTTATTACCCTGATTAATAGATTATGAGTGTTAAAGCTAATTTCTATGTCCACGATTGAGAAAAGTTTGACAAAACTACAATATAATGACACAATAATTGAGAAAAAGAGCCAGAAAAAGATGATTAACAATCAAATAAAATTGTAAGGACAAGCAAATCAAATCTTATTATCTCTCTCTTCAAGTTCAGAGAATCTTACAATAAATTAAAAACCCTAATAATCATCCTTACACACCTTACTTAATTAATCAATAATACATCATATTATTATTTCCACCGGCAGCCATGATAGGTTGGTTCCAATTGTTGAAGAGGCCACAATCAGAGATCATCTCAGTCTCATCATCATTATTGAACACATAACTGCTTGATGAGTTTATATAACTTATGATCTCATTAAGAGATTCCAATCTGTTTGTTAACTCAGCCATTTGGGTCCTCAAGATTGCATTCTCTGCTTCCATGTTCATATGAAGTTGGCTGGTTAAGCTCAAGTTCTTCATAATCTCTTCATTCTCCTTCCTCAGCTCACCAACCTGCCTCACCAGATCGTCCAGATGCTGCTGTTTCTTCTTCATCCTCGATCGCCGCGCCGACTCGCGGTTCGATATCATTCTCTTCCTCTTCTTCTGGTCCATCACATCTTCTTGATGATGATGATCAGATGAAGTTGCAGAAGAAGCACCACCACCAGGAGAAGAAGCCATTGATGATTATGATTATGTCCGTGCAATAACTAGGGTTTCGATGAACTTGAATGATGCAGATCTATAACAGAGAGAGACAGAAAGAGATACAATATATATATATATAAGTCCTACAAAAATCAATTACTGGGTTGATGGATTGCCTTCAGATGATGAAAGTAAAGGGAGGGAGAAATTAAGAAGATGGGGGATTTTGCAGAAGATTATCGTGAGAAAACGTAGAACCAGTAGAGGAAAACAACGGAGAAAGATTGAACCAAGTGGATCCTGCGAGAGAGAGAGGAGTTTATCATGAGGATTTCGCAGATTACTGCAGACATATTGACAAGCTTGAATCGATTGTCTCAAGCATCAATAACCGTAACTGCATAATCAAGATCAAGAAGAAGGATTATATTATTGAAGGTAATAAGGCCTGGAGAAGAAGAAGAAGAAGAAGATGGAAGAAGATGAAGAACCGAAGGAGTTATATAAACAGGGAAGAGATTCTTAGAGAGAAGATAGAATTAGAAGAGACTATGGGCTGAGAAATAGGGTAAAGAGAAGGAAGAAGATAGAGATGGATTGACCAGAAATCTGAGAGATAGAGATGAGAAAGAAAGGAAAGAGGTTTTGATGGGAATGGAGGGTGGGATTTATAGAAAAAGAATCGCCCATTGGAATGGAAAAGTAATAATAATAATAATGAAGAATTAAATTTTTAAAGTTAAAGATAAATTCAATTAATTGATAATTAATGAAAGAGGGGAAATGGAGGAAGGAACACGGAAAGAGCCCCACACCGGCGGACAGATCAATGACAGAGGCTGTTTCCTGTGCATGTGCACGCGCATGTTACTTTCAGTGTTAAAAAATTCACGAATGACAACTCATTGCCTTTGGATTCTTTCGCATTTGGAATGAGTTAAATATTACTACTACTTTGTTAAAGCATACAAAAACATTAACTTTGTCTAAGTACATTGTACGACTTTTTTGACAAATAAATTACAACTCGTCCGTGGGAAATAAATAATTAAAGTATAAAGATTATAAGAATTAGTTAAGCTACTTATTAAAAGAAATATGAGTTCTATTTTTTTAAAAAAATATCTACTTAATTATTTGTTTCCAAACTACCTCTTAATGAAACTTTTTTTAATATGCTCAATCAATGAGGATAGTCTAAAAATATATATAATTTAAAAGACAAAATAAATTAAAATATTATATTTAGGATTATAATAAATTTTCCAACTAGCTCATATCCCAAGGAGTGGAAAAAAACATTTTTAAGTGATTTAGTAATATTAAGTGAAACTTTGTGATTTTTTTTTTTGGTGTTGTTACATTAAGAATATTTGGATCGTGAATTGCATATAACATCTCACATCAACTTGATCACCAGAAGTAGCTAATCATAGACAATAAAATATCTTGATTGGAATTTAAAATTTTATATTAATATTGACATTAAAAAATATAATTAAATAATTCAATTCAATAACCGAAAAATGAAAGAAAGAAACAAAAGGCACAATTCATACCGATTTTTCTTTATGCTAAGCATAGGTATTCTCCTCAAGCTTTAGTTTACTATATTGTAAGGGACTAGCCCGTTCTGTTAAATCTAATCCAGTTGTGGCTCTTATTTTAATACCATTTTTTTTTGTCTTCAATAGAATGATCGATTGATTAGAGAGAAAAGAAATATTCATGCGTAACATGATAGGTATGATTGCTTATGGTTGGTGGTCTATCAATTTTCTGTCTTTAAGCAAAATGTTCGTTTTCCATCAATTATGTGAAAGATGAACGGTCCGGATTAAGCAGAAGAAATTTAATATTATTTAAATAATGTTAAGAATTTAAACTTCATTACTCTAAATTGTTGCACCCAACAACAAAAAAATCATACTCCTCCGGTCCTAATTATAAGACCCAATTGACTTATTTGAGGAGATTAAGGAAGTAAGTTAAGTTGGTTATTTATAATAAATAAGTGTTGTCATTCCTAAAATATCCTTGCTAATTAAGTATATTGGCTAAAACTATCATTATTAGAAGGATTATCTTGGAAAAAAATACATAAATATAAGAGACAAAATGGATTGGGGTCTTATAATTAGGACCAAATAAAAAGTCAAATGGGGTCTTATAATAAGGACCGGAGGAGTACTATGAACAACACACCGTGAATGATTCTCATTGAGGAGATGTTGTTATAAATTCTCAAAAAAAAAAAATTGACATATTGATCAAATAATTCAATAATCGGATAAATTCAGAAAGAAAACAAGTGAATAAAGACCCTTTAAAATATATATATTAGCAATAAATGAAATTTCGTGAACATATTTATATTCTTTTTTCTTTTATTTGAGACTTATGAATAATTTTTTTCTTATATTTTTTGTTGTCTTTCTTCAATAAAATTTAAAACCAGTTTACCTAATGTGATAGGTAAGTTTGCTATGGCTAGTGGGTTTTCCCCAAATAAATTGTAATTCATTGAGAAGGAGACTCAAATTGCGCAATTTGATAGATTTTTTTCCCCCAAAAAATAAGCAATTTGATAGCCATGTTTGCAACTTCGCATAGAAATTTTGGTTTTTGTCTAAAATATTTGATAGACTAGGATATTCGTTTTAAATGATTTTTTTACCAGATATTCGTTTTAAATGATTACATCATTTTAAATTATTTATCTTAATACTACGTTCAGTCTCTTAACATAAGATTCACTTTACACTTTAATTTTTTTTACTAAAAAGTGAATCGTATATTAAGAACCGGATGTAGTATTATATTTTTGTTCTTTTCTTAATTTGTTTATTAAACTGATTTTACTATAACTAATTAAGCAAGCATAGTTTAACATAGTCCATTAGGAGATACAATCAAGTTTTCATGTTTCATGTATTCTATTTTAAACAATTAATCCTAATTTTTTCAAAATTTCTTCGTCAAATTAATTTTAATTTAAATAATTTTTCCCCAAGACCTAATTAACAATTTGAATCCATATAAGTTTCTTATATGTTTTATTTTTAGAAAATGGATAAGTAAAATAAGTCTTGGAACTTAAATAGTATATCTACTCAAATAGGTGAGTCCAATTAAATGATTCACTCATATATTATGTCTAATCTTTACGAGTTTTTTTTTTTCCAACTTTCTTCAAGAGAATTGGTTTCCTTTAGCAGATTAACAATCGTATAATTATTTTTTCAGGCCTATCATTCTGCTGACTTATTTAATTTAAAGAAAAGGACTCAATCAATTAAAACAAGGGTAAATTATTCAAAGAAGAAATATCAGAGGGAATATTAATAAGTTTATCATTTTAAATAACAAAATTGAAAATAGAGTCATCATTGGCAAAGAACAGTAGATCTGGAAAGAGAGAGAGAGAGAAGATATCAAAAGAAAAAAAATAAATTTTTTATTATTAATTTATTATTCTAAGAATTTTTTTCTTCGAGTATTCTTTTTGCCCATTTTTCCCATGTGAACGAAGAGCAGGAGTCATTATTCCTTTTCCAATTTAATTGAAACATAAATAAGCCTTTCTTTGTGCATCTAGAATTCTCTAGGTTCCTTAGGGCATGACTCCTAGAAATATAGGAATTATTTCATGTTGGTTGGCAAAAAAAGAAAGAAAGAAATATGGCACTATAACATAACAACAAGAATGGTTAACAAATTTAATACATTCTCATGTACAAGATCCTCAAAAGTGTAAAAGATGCTAGTATTAATTTGTGGCATCACAAGACAAGTAAAGGAAGATTTCTAAAGATAACAAATTTTGTCTCCCCATTCATGAAAGGCATATTTCTTTTAATTGGTATTTATATTAACAATTTTAGGTAAATTAAGAAAGATAATTAAAATCAGTTACTTCTTTTAACAAAATTTTAAAATTATGCTCAATACAGGTTACTCTTGTGTCCCTTTTATAATATGTTTCAATCATTTTACACATACTAATAAAAGATAGATTGTTATTCATTTGTTAAGGTATAAAAGTAGGCCAGTTTTTTTTTTAATTTTTTCCCTAATCTATTAATAAATACATATTTTCATCTCTCAAGAAGTTAGACATAAAATGGTCTGATTATGAAAAAAAAATTGATGCAACCCCCTATATTTTGAGCTAAAAAGAGATTTAGAAAACTTCTTATAGATGGAGGAAGTGTTGGGTAGAAGAATTTATTTTATTAATTGGGAAATTTTATACTTCCCTAATCTTTTCCGGTCAGCCCATTAACATCTTTATGCTACATCCATCTTTAATGTAAAAAATTATTTAACATTCAATTTAGTTCTAAATATAAAACTGTAATATACTTTGTCTCTTGTATTTATCTATTTTTTTACAAGACAATCCTTATAAAAATTACAAATATTTAATGTTTTATTAAATAGTAGTTATCACTAATACATATGACTAACAAAGGTATTTTATAAAAAACAATACCTATTTATTATAATTGACTAATTTAACTAATTTTTTTAAACCACTCAAATTAGTTAACTAGCTCATATGTTAAGAACCAAAAATAGTATAAGAGAAGCTGGGAAAAGCCATTATACTAGTTCTCCAACTTATTTGCCCTCACAGCATCATTGTTCTGTTAACACAAGCGACACTTCCATAAAAACCCACACTATTTTTCAAGTTTTGCAAGAACCAAGTCCACTCTTCCAACTTCCGCCACTATGGCATAAAAAAACGGGGAATTATTAAATTTTAGGATGTTAATTACTACATGAATACTTTATGACTGGAATGCTTTTTCATTAAAAGTTGATCTAAAGTCAATGATTAGTATTAATGTTCATTAGCCAATATTTATAAAATAGTTCACATGCAAAGATGCCCTAAAACTCATTTCAAAAATAAGGATACTTCCTTTCAAACCAATCATGGTTTCCCGTTCACTATTATCTCAGCCGACAAGCCTGCAGACTTAAATTTAATTATTCACTGGACCTTTACTCTGCGTTTATAGTTTGAAATTCTCAATTTTTGACCTTTTGACTGAAGTTGCAAATATGGCATGAACTTAACTTTCATTGTTGTTTCTTCTAGCACTTCAAATTAAATTATAATTAAGGGTAAAAATACAAGTTATGTTTTCTTGATTACGTCATTGGCAACAAAGTCTAAAGCTTAGCGTGCATTTTTGCCGATCTCATCAAATGTCAATTTTTGTTAAATTGTGAACTAGGGAGCAAAACATGCTTGGCTAAATAAAATAAAATAAATAGTAAAACCTTGATAGATCAACAGATTGAATATTTAATACAATACATTCCATTCCATGTCTGACATGAAGAAACAATAGGCCAAAACTGCCAGAATTGCCTCAAGACAATCCTGTATTCTCACCACCCATTTGGTAAAATGCAAAAACAAGGGGAAAGAATTGCCTCAAGACAATCCTGTATTCTCAAACCCATTTGGTAAAATCAAAAACAAGGGGAAAAAGAACACACACAAATGCCTAACACTTATCTTTCAAACTCAAATCTCACTATTGACAAATTACAATATACACATTTTTGCATAAAAGTTTCCTTACCAATCACAATTATGACTCTGCATTCTCAAAA